TGTGGCAGAGCACCGGTTCTTCAGGCCTGGTGGGTGTGTCAGCCAGGCCACACCTGCGGAGGAGAATCACACACACCTGATCAAGCCTTGTCTGGGAGCTATTTAACAGTTTGGCTGAGCGCTCTTCGACGCTGGATTGTTGTGTGAGACTCCACGTCAGTCATCTAGCGTCTGTGAGTGTATGCCTACTGGAATTAAGTGTCTTGATGGCTGCCTCTGTTATTTCCCCCCAGGAAGATCGTGGAACACCGCAGGGCAGCAAGCACGGGGTGTGGGGACACACGGGAGTGGAGAGCACTGAGCATGGACTTTTGAGAAGAAGACACGACACGGGAGTCAGGGAAGTGCACGGGGATTTATTGTCATTTTGCTGCCACTGTAAATAAACGCTTGTTCAGATTAAATAGAACAAAATACAAAGCATTAAAATATGTTAAAAACACAACAGCCTTAATAAACCCAGAGTAGTTTGGAGCCGGTAGTAGGGTTCATACGTCATCACTTAAAGATATCCCACCTGCTGTGAATGTTTTAATGCAGTACAGTTGTTATTATTATCACTTGTCACATCCTCTTTATGACAGTTAAAATAAATAATTTTCATATGAGAAATAAAATTGTCTCATGTAAACTGTATATGGTGTTAAATAGGCCTATACTATTGTACTTTAATGTTAATCATAAGGGTGGTACTTCAAGAGCCATATATTTTATGAGGTGGTACTCACTGTGAAAAGTTTGAGAACCACTGATCTACAGCAATAGTTCCTCAGGCTTACTGGACAATTTTCTGTTTTTCAGTTTTCCTTTGTACTTTAACCTTTTCAGCAGAATGTTTTCAGTTTTTAAGCCACTTAACACTAACCGATACATGACTCAAGGAGAAAAACATTACCTAAACCAAGGGATGTCAGCATTAACACATTACATGTAACTTAGCAACGAACTAATTTTAAAGTACCAAGCACCTAGCTGCAGAATCCCATATACACACACACCTTCACTGTGTACTGTACCACTGCACACGGTTGGAATGACAATAAAGCCACTTGTCTCAACTAAAGTGTACCTTCCCAGGAAACATGCCGTTTGTGACCCATATGGGCCCATTGTCCCAGATTGCTCTCTGATGTTTCCTTTGAAATATAAATGTGTGTCGATGTTAGAAAGCACTTATGTAGTAAAAGCATAGAAAACAGTGCCTCTATGAATGAGTGAATGAAGTCGAATAAGAATGAAGTTCTATAAAGCACTTTGAGTCCTCAGGTAGCATAAGGAAGTGCTATACGGTGTAAGAACCAGTCCATTCACACACACACACACACACACACACACACACACACACACACACACACACACACACACACA